TAGACTGAAGTAGAGAGTCAGGGATGGTTAAAGGATAGGTTTATGTCTAGAAACGGAAGAGTAGTGGAGGATATGTTAACTGTATATTTGAGGGATGGGTGGAAGTTGGCAGAAAGTGCGCTAGCTGGTCATTAGAGCATGTGGTGGCACCAACGCAGTCATCAATGTATCGCTTATAGAGGTCCGGGACAAAGCCAGTGTAGGAAGTGAAGAAGCGTTCTTCTACCCGGCGGCCAAAAATATTGGCATAGCTGGGTCCCATTCTGGTGCCCATGGCGACTCCACTAACTTGCTCGTAAAAAAAAAGTTTATTGAAGGAGAATCCATTAAGTGTGAGTACCAATTCAGCAAGGGGTACAAGGGTGTGGGTGGGTGGATCAAGCATTGTGTGTTTGTCAAGCGTGTGCTTGAGGGCTGTAATACTGTCACTCTGGGGAATGATGTGATGTCCATGTTAAAAATGTAGCATAATGGGCCCTGAATCTGGAAAACAATAAAAAGTTGCAGGGTATGTTTGATATAGGAAAGAAGACCTTCAACCAGTGGTCTCACAAGGCTGTTCGAGTAAGGCCGAGATGTGAGTACTTGGACAGTTGCATGCTGAGACGATGAGGCGTCCAGGGGTGTCAGGTTTCTGGATTTTGGAGAGGAGGTAAAATTGGGAAACCAGGGGAAGTTCAACAATATGGGGGAGCTGTTTCTGAGGAACCTAGAGATTGTTGGTCTGGAGGTTCATTCATGTAATTACTTAAAATTCAGAAATGTGAATATAGTTCACAAATTATTATTAGAGAATGTTTACTATGCCCATAGACTTTCATAAATTAAAGAGAGGCTAAACCCAATGAGTTTGTTTTATTCTGGTTTATATGGTCAGGCGTTTCGTATACATAATGTTTGAATAGTAATTCTTGCATTATGAACTCAAGTACTGGAATCTAAAAATGGAATCAGGTACTAGATTTTGTTCAAATAAAAGTTGTGAACATTTTCACAAATCACAAACTTTAAAATGACTGAGGTTGGAAGCCTCTGTGTCATTTGTTTGCAACATTATTGGCATCTGAAACATCGTGTCTTGAAAATAGGTGAAATTGTGAAAATAGTAACAAATTAACCTGAACAAAATACAAGGAGTTTAAATTTTTTTTATGATTAATACATTAATATTGTTAATAATGATCAGAGATGTTCTTATAGTCTGATTTATTAATATCTTAATATTTAACATGTTGTGATATAGATAACAATAATCAAATGTCACTATAGTGCACATATTATTTACGATTGCATTTTTAGAGGGGTCTTTCTTTGTTTAAAAATAAAACTTATGCCCTGACTGAGAATTGAACTCCGGACCTTCTGGGCGATTGGGACATAAAACCCCACTTTCCCAAAGAGTCACTCAGTATCATATGGCAGCTGAAACGGACACCTCAAAATGTTTTCAAAATAATCACAAGTGAACGAGCCAAAGAAATTAATGCAGATGTTTATGAAGAAAGTGGAATACAGTACTACTACCAACTTTATTAATATATTATATTTAGATCCTTAAATTAATATCATTATTGATTTCGATAGTTATGCAAGTTATGAGGATTTAAAAAAGTATAAGTTATTTTACAACAACAATGACAGCAAGTTTTCTTAGAAAAGGTTAAAACATTATTGTTTTTTATAAAGTATATAAAAACATCTGGCTCTGGCAAGGGTTCCTTAAGCAATGGTGACAGGAAAAATCTTTGCAGCTCTCAGCTGCCTTGTAAGCTTTCTGCAGGCTGCCTGCATGCCACTCTCAGCCTTTGAATCCTCTTTGGCACATTACTAACTTATTTTATAATACCTGTAAAAGCTGCAAAACAAAATTAGGTTGCAGACAACAGTTCAAAAACTGAATTTCAGTATATACTGATAGCTATCCTAGCA